CGATGCAGCATCTAACGAGATGGCAGCACACGCGCTACAAAGCCGCCCCGCGCTTCCGGCGCCCTTCTACCGTCTCACCCGGGCCCCTCGCTCTCCTTCGCCTCACAATTACCCAGCCGGGAGGCATAGCTGGGTTAGGAAAGCAGCATGGCCTAGTGGTGAGCGCCTGCCAAGCGAGCCGGGTGCTGATCCCGCCTAGGCTACAGGCCCGTGGGGTGACAGGAGACAGCTGGTCTCTGTCCCAGCCGAATCCCACAGGGAAATCAACCTCTGACATTGCTGCTCTTGTGCCTCAGTTTCCCCCATTGCGGCTGAGTGCCTGAATATCACAGGCCAGGGAACCGCCTGCCAGTCGTTCCAAGAGCAGATCGTGCAAAGAAAACCGTAGCACAGCCAGGAACGGGAGCCCCGATCCCCGAATCCTGCTCGCCCGACTAGCCCTCCCAGAATACAACCCTGCAGGCCTCGCTTCCAGACACAGCCCTGCATCACATGTAAGGTTTGCTCTTTCAATATCGTCGCACAGCCCCCACGCCTCCCCCGGCAGCTGACCCCATGGGCGGAGCACAGAATTAAAAAAAAAAGTAAACCGGGGGCAGCAGCCCACAGGGGCCGTGGGTCAGGCAACCTCCAGCGGCCTGGGTAGGAATCCTAGTTAAGGGCATCAGGAAAGAATAAAACCAGGCCCTTCAATAGCAATTTCACCCCTGGGAGGATCCCAGGGCTAGAATAGCAGGGCATTGCAGGCTGGGACTGAGGGCCATTGGCAGAGCTATGGGGGGCGGGACCCCACGCTGGAAATAGCAGAGCTGGGATTGATGGCTGCCTCCTGACGCTACCCACTAGACCCCACTGCTCCCCGAAAGCTCAGACTAGAACCCAGAAGTCCTGGGATTCCTGCTCTCAGCACTAGACAGCGCTGCCTCTCGCAGCCCGCCCTCGAAGGAAACAAGGGGAATGAATCCTTCCCCCGGTATTGAACCTAGACTTCAAGGAAGGAGCACGCCCGCGCCCGGCGCTCCCTGGGATGCGGCCCACGCTCTCCAGCGCCGGCTGTAACCTCCGGGGAGAAGCAGCACTTTATTTAAAGCTGTGCTGTCTGGCTACTCCCCGGCCATCACACCCGCCCCCAGCGTTTCCTCCTTCGCCGGGCGCTCTGCCACTCGCTAGGGAGAAGCGGCTACCGACTTCCCCCACCTCCCGAGCCAGCCCGGAGCCTTCCTTACCGCCAGGGCCAGGGCAAAGGAGCTGGGGTGGGGGACACAGCAAAGGAGAGCGAGTCACAGATGACAGCACGGCAGAACTGCTTGCCTACTGGTTAGGGCACCAGCTGGAGGCTCGCATTGAAGTCCCTGATGTGCCAGCAACCCCTGGCGTCACCTTGGGCAAGTCACTTGCTGCTCCGTGCCTCAGTTTCCCCACCTGCAAATGTGGGGCTAACAGCCCTGCCTGAGCTCACAGGGGGGGCGGAGAGGAGCAGTCCTTTCCTGGCAGGGGTTCTGCGATACTGTGGTGGTGACGGGGGTCAGAATGAACCCTGCCCGCACAGTTCTCGCTGCTCCTTCGATTCTTGGGGGTCCTGCTCCAAGCTCTGGAAGGGGAGTAGAGGTGAGGGCTTGCCACCGAGGCCTGGGCATCAGGACTCCTGGCTTGGACTCCCAACTCCGTACCAATTTGCGGGGCGATGTGAGGACAAGGCACCAGCCCAGTCTCTGCCTCAGTTTCCCCCCATGTGCAGCAGGGCTAACAATATGGATCCCCCTCCCGGGGAGGCTCAGTTCATTGACTCGGCATTTGAGGCTCTGGAGGGACAGCAGCCCCGGGCACTGTGCCGTTTGGTCCCCCAGGGACCTACCCAGAACCCATCCCGTGGGCGTGCGGTGCTTCCTGTCTCCATCCTTGGATACAGCAGCCTTGTCTGTTGCGGGAGCCTGCCTGCCTGAGCCGGGAAGGTGATCCAGGTGCAGCTCTGACTGCCCCAAGGGTGGCTCGGCTAACTGGGGACAGGCTCCTCACCCCACAGAGGAACGGATGCAGAGGGGACTCAGCTCCCAGTGAAGTCCAGGCAGGCCGCCTGCACGACCAGCTCAGAGGGAGGGGCATCAGTAGCTGCCCCCCACCTTGTGGAGCAATCTATCTCTACCCACTAGGAGACACTGCTTCTAAGGCAGGCCAATGCCTGTGCCCTTTGCTTTTGGAGCTGGGGGCTGCTAGTCAAGGATCTTGCAGTGGGTCCCTCTCTGGACCAAAAGCCCCTCCAGATGCTGCTGTTCTCGTTAGCCAGGGTGGGCTGTTTGCTCTGGGATGTAAACGACTAGTCATCTAGTCGCTTCCCCCACCCCCTTAAAAGCCGGTTCCCCCCAGCTCCGGGGGAGGGGGCAGGGGTGCAGCGGGGGCGTTCCACCGCTGAAATGTACAAGAGTCCCTGCTGGGGCTCTTGTCCATTTCAAAGTGGGAGCGCCGCACGGAGCCTGGGACCAGCGGGGGACTCTGAGTCCCGTGCTGCTCCCGGGCTCTCTGAGGCATTTCAGTCTTTGAATTGGGCACGAGCTGGGGCTCTTGTCCGTCCCCAAGGCGGAGCACGGCGCTGGTCCTTCTCGCCGACGCGAATGGTCCACGGAAACCCCATCGACTGTGTGATTCGTTCATTAACTGAACTGTAACATCCCCAGTTTGCGCTGTCTGGGCGGGGCTGCTCACGCCTCCCTGCCTGGGGAGCAAGGCCAAGCCAGAGCCGCCTGGCGCGGAGGAAAGGGACGAGTTCACCCAGCAAATCCTGTAGCTGGAGAAGGGCCGGTTTCGGTTCCTCCCAAGCGGGATCAAATCCTCAAGCCCCCGATATTCATCCTTGACCCAGGCGGCCTGAGGCGCGAAGGGGAGCTCCCTGTGTCTCCCGGCTGCGACAGCCAGTCCCC